GAAGCACAGGGGTTGCCAAGCAACGGAATGCCAACCCCACAGGTAGGGGTGAAGGCCTTTCCTACACACTCCCCTTTCTTTTAAAGTCAAAGTTTCTGGCCCATGTACATATTATTATTAGGTATGCACACATGAACTCACGTGTCTGTGCACACGAAGAAATGTCTAGAAGGACAGATATCCCACCTTGCTTACAAGTCCTTCTGAGTGCTCATATCCTAACCTTGTCAACCATTTGTTTCCTTTGAATTCCCAGAAAAAAAAAATACGTCTCTAATTGTTTCTCCTTCAGAGCCTCCAGCAGCTGTCTTCACTAGCTGCAAGGTACCCGGCTGGCCTGGACCAAGGGACCAGAAAAAAGGAATCCTGGCATCAGAAAAAAAGGCAGCTTCCTGAGACACCACATTTTGGTCCCTCCAGACATACCTCCCCCAGACTGCCCCTCACGCAGAGCAACTTCCACAGAGACTGGCTGTGCCAGTGGTCCATGCTGCCCTCCGTCCCACCTGCCATGCTACCAGTCCGCCAGGGTCCACACTGCCTGAGTGTCTAGATTGGCCACACCACCAGAGGAACTGAAGATCGGGGAAGTCAATCGGCTGGAGTCACTCCTACCAAACGCACTATCTGCACCCATCTATCTCAACTCTGCAGTCTGCTAGGGCCTAGGGAGTTCTGTGTGAGTCTGTGGAAGAGAGGGGAGGGGGCACTGAGTGAGTGTGTGTGTGTGTGTGTGTGTGTGTGTGTGTCCACTCATCCCTCCCTCCGTCACTGGCTTGCTGGAGCTCCTGCTTGCACTTTCTGCTTCAGGAGCTGTTTGCCAGGCTCTGAGAGGCTGTTGGATGGAATCCAGCTCTCCCTAGGAGGAGAGCATACACTTCATAAACTGCATTGACTTTAATGCAGGTTCCTGGGGCTGCTTTCCTCAGGCTTTTCTTCCCTCCTCCATCCGCTCTGTCTCGATCACATTTTATCCTTGCCCCTGTGTGCACCCAGACCCCATGCGTGCATGCCTGTGTGCACACGTGTGCGCGCGCGCACACACACACACACATACAAACACTATAGCTAGTGCTTCTGAAAAAGATGAAGCCTCAGGCGGGAAGAGAATGGGCAAGGTGTAAAAGCCCTGTATAAAGGGGGATTCCTTGGCCTGGCCCTGGAGGGGCCCCGTGAGATGCCCATGTCCTGTCTCCAGTGGAGCTGAGCACAGAGGGTGCTTTGAGGCAGGCAGGCAGGCGGGTACTTCAGGGAGGGAGGGATACTGACATTTGGTGGGGACAGCCAAATTAGGAGCCACCTGGAGGCTGGGCCACAGGGCTCCAAGGAAGGGAGGGAGAGAAGGCAAGGCCTTCGGTGCAGGTTGAGGTTTCTGAGGCCTCCCTTGTCTGGTGTTGTCAAGGTCAGCAGGTTCGGGTTCACCGAAGGGTCAGGATGGTTTGAATTACTGGCTCTGCTGCATCTCGGCTCTGAGGCTCGTGATCTGTCTTCCAGCCCCAGAGCCAGGGCCCAGCCCTCCCCCAACCCTCCTTGCCTTTTCACCCCCACACAGGACAGAATAGGGAGGGTCCTGGAGAGCCCTGTGGCCACCATGGCTCAGAAGAAGGCAGGCAGGGAAGCTCAGAGCTCAGGGCTCCTTCATGAGCAGCCAGCAAGGTCAGGGAGGGTGCTCAGACCCACTCCTCTGCCAGGCAGCAATCTGGTCTACCTTCCTTCCAAACCCTTTCTGAAGTGTTCCCCATGCCCCTGCCCTTCCCAGCTGCCCCTTGGCCTGCAGAGGAGGAGGCATCTGGGGAGGTGAGCCCAGGAGCAGCAAGACCTGGCTCCTCCCTCCTGCATCCATAGCCTGCACTTGGGGAAGAAGGGCAGAGCTGAGGCAGCGGATTTCTCGCCTGGTGCCCTTGCCCGTGGAGGAAGGAGAATGATGCCTACCTGCAGGGCTGGAAGGTGGATACCAAGTGGAAGACTAGGAGTTGAAGACAAATTCTGACAAGATGGGTGTGCATGCATGTGTGCAAGAATGTCCAGACATGGGGGGTGGGGACTGGGAAGCGGGGAGGACTTGAGGCCTTTGCTGGAAAAGTTGTGATACTGTGCTACACCCACCCCAGTTTCCAGTGGTGGAGGGACACGGGCACCTCCCTCCACTGCAGATTTATACATTCTCTCCTGGTTGGGGGGTGGGGTCAACCTATCTATTCTGGCACCTTATGAAAAAAAAAGTCTCTTTTGTGCTAAATCTCAACAAACTTCTTCAAACAACCAAATATAACTCTATCCACAACAGCATGAACTGGCTGGGAAACTACACTGGTTAATGATCTGGCTGCCAGTCTCTAGTATAAACACAGGGATTTATGTACAAATTCAGGCACCTGTGTCAACCTCACACAGCCAGAAAAAAGTAAACCCATGTGTGCACAGATGCCAAGGTTAAGTTCTTAATAAAATATCTACATAACCTACCCCTACAGAAGTGTAACGATAAGGTCAGTGTTATACTCATGGCCATAACTTGACAGAAAATTTGGCTAAAAAATATGATCCAACTAAGAAAAGATCCTCCCCTCAGGTGCAAACTGTCTAATTTCCCAGGTTACTGAGAAGATATAATCATAACAATGTATGTTCATAAGTGGATTTTTTGATGTCTTAGTGTTGACCTTTGAACCTTAACTCTTTCTTGGACTGGAGTGGACATTAGCCAGGTTTTGACTATTTGTTGGAAAATGAACATAGGTTGAGCTTTGTTGATACAGTTAAAGTCAGGCACTTGTCCAGACAGATTACTACTTTCATGTAGATTTGGTTTCTGGACTTTCATAGGAGCTGCTTCGTGAGGGCAGAGTCTGTGACCTGGGGCTGGGTGGTATCGGGCAGGTGAAATCATATAATTCCAGCAATCATCCACAGACCTTTCCTTAAAGAAGCTCAAACTCTTCTCAGCTTCCCCCTGCTAATATAATGTTTTCTGACTGCCTGGCCAGGGCCTGGAGGAGAATGAAAGCCAAAAGAGGTTCTGTGATTTCCTGCTGACAATGTAAGCTCACGCCAGGGTTCTGAGAGCATGACCACCGCCGGCTCCACACTCCCGGGTGGGAGTGGGGGTATTCTTTGAGAAGGGAAGCAGACAGCTGGGGATGTATGTGTGGAAGGAGTAGGTGATAAACAGACATAATGGTGCCAACATACCAGGTTTAGGTTAAGGAATCTGCAATATGGTGCAGCCTCAAGGTGTCTTCCGGACACTCCTCGGCTCCCCTCCCAGTTCCTTCAGGCTGAATCCTGTCCTGCTCACATGGTGTATGCTCAGCAAAACTTCCCTAAGCTCTTCCCATGCAAGCCAGGCTTGGATGGCTCTCTGCTTCTGCCAGTCCTCTGCATCAGGACCAAAAGGCCATGGAAACCAGCTCTGTGGGCCTGAGGGGGTCAGGCTCTGCCTCTCAACCTCCATCCGTGCCAGCCTTCCAGGGAATGCTCACCTGTGGATTTCCCCCATGAGCCTCCTCCAGGACTGAGTCATACCCAAGGTCCCAGGGCCTCTTCCCCAGGGGTCCTCTTCCCAGAGTGCTCCTTGTCTATCTTTTCTGACCCCAGCTCTCTTCCCGCTGCCCCTCCAGAAAGAGAGTGGGGAAGAGAGACCAGCGAGCAGGGCATGCCTGGTTTACATTAATGAGATACACCGAGTGTAATCCGGCCATGGAGGCAGCCTACAAAAGGAGGCGAGCTGGCGGCCAGGAGCAGGGCTGCTCAGGTAATTGGTTTATCTATCTGGAAGCAGGGGGAGCAGTCTCAGCACAGACAGACTAGCAGTAAAGTCTCTTCCTTAAGGCTATTTCCTTTGTCTTTTCAATTGCTTGCACATCCATGTGAGAGAGGGAGAGAGTGTTAAAGAGAGAGGGAGAGGGAGAAATGTTAATTTGTGAATTAATGGCTTTTCTCAGCGGAATTGTAAATTCAAATGTCACCTCACACGGTGACACCACGGCTGGTCTGCTGAAGAAGCAATGATAAGATCCCCCACCTCCCTTGGTGCCCCTCCCTCCCCAAAGATAGCTGTGGAGTGGAACATGCTACTTTTAATTTGCAATAACAACACAACAGAGGTATGCAGTAATGACTGCCTTCTTCCACCCTCCTCCTGGCTTCCTTCCCCCCAGTCCACTTGGCTCCCCATTTCCTCCCTCCCCACCTCCATGGCTCTTCTGAAACAACACCTCACCTCAACTGGGCTGCCCCCACCCCCAGTCCAGCCAGGGCCCGATCACAAGGGGGGGTGGTATGCCTTCGGAATTGACGATGCTGCAACCCTCTCTTCTCCTTCAATAATCAGGGGATTAATGATCCTGAAGTTAAAGTGAGGCTGATACCGAGGCCCTGCCCAGCGTTGGGAAAAAGCCTTCATTGTTTTCAAGCAGGAGGCGGGCAGCAGTGAGGGAGATTCATGGATGGAGATTGAATATGCAATTTTCTTTCACCTTGCCAAGAGCTGCCCCTGGGCTGTGCCTGGCCTAAATTTTTCCTTTTACCATCTCTGCCTTATCCGGCCCTCCCACCTCCCTTCCATTCTTTCCAGAAAATTACCTTCAAAATTGATTTCCACTTTTACAAACAAATATAATGGGAACACAGGAAAAAACTTGGGCCGTGATGAATTAGGGCTGTCAGGTGCTTCCAGGTCTCCTTTGCTTTTGTTTTACTACCCGATCTGTTCTTTGTTTTTCCAAGGGCTGGAAAAAGTACCCCCCATCCACTGAGTGCGTGACCCTTCAGGTCACCCGGGGCCTCAGCCCCCAGAGCCAGCAGTGGCCCATGGCGGAAGTGATCTAGGCCCTGAGACTCTGTTAGCCTCTTGGTTTCCCAGCGGAAGCCTCACCCACTTCGTTTTCTGCTCCCTGGCTCTTAGGAGCCCACTTTCTGGATTATCTCTAATCGCCACCCCTCCCACCCCCCAACTATTTCCCCTGACCCCCACACCATGTTCCCTCTGGCCCCCATACCTCTTAAAGTCCAGACCAGATGCAAACCTCCACCTCCTCTAATGTGGGCAGGATCAGTGTATACCTCAACTAGAGCAAATGAGAGACAGACAGACACTGAGAGATCCTGAAAGGCAGGCAGGTAGAAGACTGGGGGCAAGACCCTGAGATTGGGAGACCAGGCTCCTCTTCAAAGGGCTGTGAGGTTTCTGAGTGACAACTCCCACACAGCCTGAGGGTGTAAGGGTTCCCAGCCTCAGTTTCCCCAGCCTTGGGTCCCAGGCAAACCTGGAGGCAAGCTCAGGACAGCCCATCCATTTGCCTACAGAATGCAAGGTGATGCCTACAGGGCCTTTTGGGCAAAACTGTATGTCTCACCTCATCACCTGTGTCTCAGGACCCTGGAGCGGTCACATAATCAGGCCTGGCTTCGAGCTCTCCTGCTCACTAGTACTGGTGGATCTGCACCTGCTCTCATTTGGTTGTCTCTTCAAGTATATGCATTACCCAGAAGATTGCATTCTTGCCCAGTGCATGGCGTTCCACACCCCTCTTCACCCAAAGATCACAGAATGGTAGAAAACACACACGTACCCACATTTGCATCAATCATGTCAAAAATTACATGGTGTCCATAAAACAACAAACACACGTTTCCTTAGATATATAAATAAACTTACATGTGAGAACAGAAATACACAACAATGGATACGGGGAGGGATGCCTCCATGTTAGAAAAGAAGGAGGTCCTAGATTTATTTACACACATCTAAAATGCCTATGGAGGGATGCCTGAGTGGCTCAATGGCTGAGCATCTCAGTGGCTGAGCATCTGCCTTCAGCTCAGGCCGAAGGGACCTGGGATCGAGTCCCACATCGGGCTCCCCACAGGGAGCCTGTTTCTCCCTCTGCCTCTGTCTCTGCCTCTCTCTGTGTGTCTTTCATGAATAAATAAATAAATCTTTAAAATAAATAAGTAAATAAAATAAAATGCCTGTGGATGCTAAGAGAAGACATGTGGCCCATTTGGATAACCACACAGAGCAAATGACTAAGTAGAGATGGACAAAGGTCCTCCCAATCACACATGGGTGGCTGACATCTTTTCCCCACTCCCTGGTCCCAGTGAGCTTATCCCAGCATCAGCTTCCTGCACCAAGATTAGGGAGCCTGGGCCCAAGTAAGTTTCCTTCTGACATGACTTCATTTGCCCTCAAAACATAAACCTGTTGTCTATTAGGTCCTTCCCCACAGACACACAATGACCCGTCTTCCAAAGTGGATGCAGCTCGACACTCGACCCGTGATTCTGGGTAGCCCTCTCCGCAGTCCCCCTGGAGTGAGTGCTGTTGCCATCTCCATGTTCCAGAGGAGAAGATGGAGCTGATGAAGGACTAGTGATTTGCCCACACCACCAGGATTCACACTCAGCTGTGCCCCACCCCAGAGCCAGCACCTATCCCCACTGTGCCACAGTGCCCACCCACGCCACCCCAGGGACTGCCCACTGGCCTCTGCCGGGCATCCGCCTTCTCACTGGGACTCCTGCAGTCTCCTCTTGCCTGAAGCCGCCCCCCCCCACCCGACCATGCAGGCACTGTTCATTGCTGCAGCCGAATCCCCTCATTTGCTCCAAGTCTAACCTGAGCAACATAGTCTGGATTTCAAGGAAGGAAAGGAACTAAGGAAATAAGCCTCCTTCTGCAATTATGGCTTCAGCCAGAGCAGAAAGGAGCTATCAAAGGCAGTGACTGAGCTGAGCCGTTTGCAGCTGTGCAACCTGCCCTGTCTACAAATGCACAACTGCCCTGGCTTGGCACCACTCAGCTGCACAATTCATTGTGAGTCTAATTAATGGAATGCCAGATCACAGCCCCTGGCAATCCCACACATCATGAGAGGATACCAACACATCGCCCCTCACACAGATCAACAGGCTCCTACCACATGACTTCATTTGGATTTTTAGACAAGTGACGTCATTACTCCGTGCTCCAATAATACACATGGACAGCAGTGCTTTGGGCTACAGCTGAAAGCAACTGGGTGAAAGGCAAAGGACTTTGGGTTTCCAGTCCCCCAAAATACAAGGGTCTCTATCTTCCAGCCACGTAAACCAGAGTACACGGCATTCAGGGAAGTGGTGTCCCTTCAAGGGACACTAATATACTCACCCAAAACTGTAGCCCAAAAGAGGTAAAGATCTTAGCAGGGTACTACACGGCGATCTGCCTTCTCAGACCGATGGATAGCCTGTCTTCTGGGCGCCTCAAGACATAGCTCCTCATCTAACCCTGGTCCATCCACCCGTCTCATTCTGGGAGCTCCTGGACTCAGGTAGGTGGAGAGTGCCAACGCTTCCTGACTAGCACATTTCTCAAGGGAAAATCCGGGGATTTTTCCATACTTCCGGTGGCCAAGGCGCATGAGAAGGCGTCTCAAGCAGGCTCACAGTCACTGGTCGGTTCCCTTTCTCCCCAGAGTCACAGCTGATCGGCCCTTTACTAATATCCCCACAGATATGATTGCTGCAGATACTAATAACGCTGTCCATATTCCGAGTGCCAATGCCAATAATGCTTTGGGTATTATCACTGTGAACACCAATAACTACTGCTGAGATTGTCTCCAATAATGCCAGCACACGCTGCAGTGATTGTCCTCGCTAATGCCCACCACCGTGACATTGTTAGTGCTGAAGAATAGGCCGAACCGTACCCAGAGGCAGGAGCTGAAGCGCTTTCCTCGAGGACAGAGAGGCTCACAGCTTGCCCTCGGGGTGAGGCACTTGTAGAGAGCTGCCCTGGTGCCACGTGGGGGCCAGCCTAGCAGGGCAGCTGGGTCCTCCTGGAGGGGGATGGGCCCCTCCACTCCCTGGAGGTCTGGTCCCTTGACATGCATCCCCATTTCCATGCCAGCGTCCCTCAGTGCCCCAAGTCAGTTTTCTCTTTGCCTGTGGTGCTGGCCCAGTCACTGAAGGACACACCTGGGTGTCTGCAGCCCCTGCCTGAGGCTGCCTCCTGCGACCGGCCTGCCAGCTGCTGTGCTACCTTGGCCTGACTGCAGACTTGGGCTACATCATCTTGACACATAATTATCTCTCCTATTCTTAATCATCTGAGCTGCTCCCTAATGCAAACTGGGCCCCCCGCTGCTTGTAGGCACCCGGAGGCAGCCAGAATGGGGGAGGGGGCAAGACTGTGAAAGGTCTGCCTTTGCCCTCTCCTTTCCTTCCCCTTCCACCTGGATCCCACAGGTCAAGTGTGTGTGGCGGCCCAGGGGGAATGGGTGGGGGCCAGCTGGGGACAACTGGCTTCCTTCACAGGTGCTGGCCTCCACCCGGGAAAGGGCAGCCCCAACTAGTCTGTGGTTGCTCGAAGAGAGGCGGAGACAAGGCAAGAGAACCACCGCCCCCATCCACCCAACCAAAAGAAATACGGCCTCAGATCCTCCTCATCCCCTGGCTAGGCCCGGGAGGTGAAGTATTTCAGCAGTAAGAGGAAACTGAGAGTCCACATTATCCCTCATCTAGAAGATGCCAACTGCTTCCTAAATTGTTTCCCTGTTGCCATCACAGTCTCCCTGCCAGAAGATTGTCTTCCCAAACCCAGCCCTGCTCTTCTCCCTTCCTGCTCAGACACTTTCAGTGGCTACTCAAGCCTGCAGAGAAAAGTCCAGACTCCTTATATGGTCTGGTCTTGGCCTGATCTCCTGTGACCCTAACCCATGTGCTTGCTCAGCCTTCACTCCCAGCCTTTCCCTCGTGCCTCTTCATTCCTGCCAGGGCAGGCCTGCATCTTTTCACCACGGTACCTTTTGATCAAGAGGCTCTGTCTACCAGATAGGATTTCACACTGCCATTGTTCTGGACATGCCCCTGATACATCAGTCAAGCCCCTCCTCAAAATGCAGCCCTCCTGCCAGGTTACTCCTTCCTGACTCTGAGTTCCCATGGCCTGCCGCCCAGACCTCTATCACAACAGATATCTGATGGGCCTTTCTGCTCTCTGGGCTCACGTGTTTTACATGCCCCACTAGACTATAAGCTCCTTAAGGACAAGAATCATATCTTGTTCTCCTTTGGGATCCCCTAGCACCAAGCTTTTCTTGCAGCTGATGCACAGGAAAGGTTCACTGAATTGAATTGACTGGAAACAATGAGCATGATCAATTGCAGGTAGGAGAGCACTCTGTTCTGGGCTGGCTGGGCCTGACCCTGGGTGGCCACAGTCTCATACAGTGTCTTCTTACTCCTGGCCTCCTCTCATGGCCTACAGGAGCCCAGGAAACAGAGGGCATACTTGGCCCCAACCACAGACCAATAAGGGAGAGTATATGGGTAGGTCCTGTGGCCTTCCCCACCCCACCTGCTGGACATCTCACAGTCTAAAAATGCAGGGGCTGGTGGTGAAAGGGGAAACCCTTGGGGCCTGAGGAAGAATCTTCCAAACCACTCAGGGTGCCAGGGCACCTGGCTAAGGCCAGAATGTGGGAAGACCCCAGGGAGATTTGGGACCTCATGCCTTTTCTGAAGTCTCCCCCTGCCCATCAGGGGCTGCCGCCAAAATAACCACAATGAAATTTAGTGAGTGGCAAAGGCCGTGGCAGCCAAATGGGTTTGAATATTTTGGAAGAAGGAGAAATAGAGCCAGACAAGCTGTTTCCCTGTGAAACGAGGCCATTAGGACTTCTGGAAGGAGGCCAGCACCAGGTCATCACTGTCTTGCCAGACCTAGGCCTCTCCCATACTCTGTCCCTTCCACTGGAGGCCAGGGCTTTCACACCCTCTTTCTCCTCAGCCTATGCCCAGGGAATCTCACTTTTGTTCCCTTTCTCTGTTTCTTACCCTCTAATGCTGCCCCAATCAAAGGGCTTGTCTATGCTTGGGATAGCCATGTTATTTATTGTCCAAACAGGACATTTTTGAGAGAAAAAAAGAGATGCTGACTGGCCAATATGCAGAGACAAAAGGCATAAATTGGGACTGTCCAGGCTAATGGGATATGCGGTCCCCCTCATGCTCATCTCTAGAAGACTCTGTCTATTTCATGGGAGATACCCTTAAAATCATAACCCTCCCCAGACAAGGGACCATGAGATTGGGACAGGAAGCAGGCTCCAGACACTGGTGTCTCTGTTGGTCTGGGCCCACTGGCCCTGCGCCCTGGGCCCTTCTCTCATCAGAAGAGAACCAGAAGGTCACGAAGGGACCTCCTCATGTCCCAACATTTGTAAAACACCTTCTCCTGAGCTCATAGCCACCACTGCCTCTTCATGTCCTTTCCCCCCTTTCTCCTTCATTCCTCCCTCCTCTGAACTCCCTGACAGCCTGGCGGCACCTTGAGGCATTACAAAGAATGTGAAAGGGGGGCACAGAGAGGAGCCTGCATGGCGTCTCCTCCCATAGGGAAGAAGAGTACAGACGGCCCATGTCCAGCTCCCTGAGTGGCTTCAATGGGAGGCAGAATCCGTGTGTCACAAAGAAAGGACACCTGGGTCAGGTGCATATGACATCACGCCCCCAACTTCTGATGGGTTGGGATCAGGTAAAAACCAGGGCAGATCGGCCTTTCATCCTTGGGTCAGAGATCAGCTGTCCCCCAACCTCCTGAACGCTCCCAGGGTACATGGTTCACGCTGGCATGAACCTGGCACCCCACTGAGATATTAGGGGCAGTCGCAGAGGAAGATGAGGCCATCGAGGCTGCTGAGCAGATGGTGAAGCTGAGGGCCCCACCAGCAGCCGGCCTCCCTCTCCAGGAGCCAGCAGGGCAGTGGGGGGACCTGGGCTCCGCTACTAAAACTGATCTCACAGCAGAGCAGCTGTGAGGCCAGGCCGAAACCGGAGCTCTGAGTCCAAGGACAAAGCATGCACAGGGAAGCCAAGCCTCTTCCCTCCTCCCTACCTTCATCACGTTTCCTCTTCTCACCATTGGAGCGAGGGATCCCCAGGATCCCGTTGATGGAGTAGGATCCCACTGGATCATTGGAGGCGCTGGAAACAGGAGGGGAGGCCGTACTGGGAACTGGATGAGAGTAAGGAGGAAATGCCATCAGGATAACAGCTGTGATTGAAGGCCAAAGCCCCAAGGCTGGGGGCAGAGAGAAGCAGAGGAAATAAGAGGGATGGGGAGCCCATATGGCCTTCTGTCCTCTGAGGTTTAGAGGGGACACATGGCCATACAGTGCACCCTCTTCACTTCTGTCCAGCCCCCGGACAGAAGCAGAAGGCCTAACCCGAGGCCTTCTCCACAGCTCTCGTGACTTGGCTGGGCCATTAAACTCACTTCCTGAGGATGGACAGAAACACCAACATGGGCTCAATCTAGAGAGTGAGTGGTCCAGCTTCTAGGAGCTCCTAGGAGGCCTCCTTGCACAGCTCACCAATCCCCAGGGCTGGGCCAACCCTTCTAAACAAACCCCAGCTCACTGTCTCTAGTCTCCTGGGCTGGCCTTTGCCAGTCCTATTTCAGAGGGTGCGGCTTTCTAGGATCTGTCTCTGACCCTCTAGGAGACACAAGAACAGTCATGATATTCCCCAGGAGGGTGCAGCTCCTTTCTCCCTGGTGCTCCTGGTCTTGAAATCACCTGAATTCTAAATTTCCCCCTCAGGGCACAGACTCATGAAAACATTCACTCCGTGGTGATCAGATCGGGTACAGCCTGGCCCAACCCTCCCTCCCAGCACACACTGTAACCCGGCTACAGAAACAGCGGCTCCTGCCAACTTCGGGAAGGCCGGGACCAGCTGTGTCCACTTCCTGCTGGTCAAGAGAGAAGAGGACAGCTGCCAAGAGGGCCAGCAGGAGGAGCATAACCTCATCCCAGCCCTTAACGGCTCGGGCCTCACCTAGGGCTGCAGTGGCCGAAGGGGAAGACCATAGAGGAAGGGGTGTTAGCTGGTGTTCTGATGGGCCTGGGTCATCTCCGAGATGCCCTGAGCAAGGACCAGCAGATAAGGAGGCTGGAGCAGCAGGGAATTACAGAGCAGAGGGGAGAGACACAGGTTGAGGAGAGCCCATTAAGAGGAAAGGAGGAAAGAAGCTGTGAGGAGTGGAGCAGAGAGATGAGAACAGACCCAGAGCCACACATACAGAGAAGAGAAAAGAGAAAGGGAAAGGCAGAGAGAGTAAGAAAGAGAAAGAAAGAATTTTAAAAATTACAAAATGCAGTAAGAAGGTCCAGGCAAGGGGATCCCTGGGTGGCGCAGCGGTTTAGCGCCTGCCTTTGGCCCAGGGCGCGATCCTAGAGACCCGGGATCGAATCCCACGTCGGGCTCCTGGTGCATGGAGCCTGCTTCTCCCTCTGCCTGTGTCTCTGCCTCTCTCTCTCTCTGTGACTATCATAAATAAATAAATTTAAAAAAAAAAAGAAGGTCCAGGCAAGTGGAGACAGAATCGGATAAAAACCGAAAATGAGGGAGGAGGAGGAAGGTGGAGAAGAAAAGCTAAAGGAAAATCTTCATGTAGAGAGAGACAGAGATAGAGACAGACAAGGCAGCTGCAAGGAGATGTGGGCGGGAGGCAGAGAACAGTCCTGGTTAGGGAGTCTCTTGGGGAGACCCCTACCTGTAGGAGCTCAGGGAAGGCAAGTGCTGAGAAAGGGGTTCCTGGGACTGCAGGTAGGTGGGTAGGTGGGCCCTTCTGGGGGGGTGGTGGTTCAAGCTCTCCTGGGTGGGACCCTGCTTCCTCCCTTCCCTGAGCCCTCTTACCAATGGTGTGGCCAGGGGCTGTCACTCCCGTCCCAGCCCCATCCGGCGTTGGGTGGAAAGGCTGCTGAACTTTGGTCCTGATGATCCTGCAACAGCATCACGACAGCGTCACACATCACATACCTGCTCCCGCCTGCACCAGCTCCAGCCCAGCCCGGCAGAGGGGCTCTCCCAAGCTCCCCAGCTTCTTCTCATCCATCTGCTCCCTGTACTCTTGCCCTCATTGACTGCTGCAAGGCATGAGCTTTCCCTCCCACTGGCTCTGCAGATCCAACCTAGTGCAACTGGACAGAGGTGGTCTGTATTCTCTCCTGCAATGTGCATCTTCTGAACTGCAGCTTGGTTTTCAGTAGCAAGAACTGGGGCAGAGGAGTGAGCAGAACATAGCATCCTTCCCCTCTCAGGGGGTGGGGACTGCCTGGTGGCTTGTCCCTTCCCTCCTCAACTACATGCAAATATCCTCCTGGGAACAGGACTCCCTGGGGCTGGAGATCACTTTGGAGCTGGCTTTCCTATTGGGACTGTATCACAGTCCTCTAGAGTTGGGACAAGGGGGAGATTTCCCTATTTCTTAAGCTAAAAAGAAATAGCCAGGAAAGGGCTGGGTCACAGGTGGCCCCTTTGTCCCTGGGATCCCAGTGCAATGCCAGGCACCTTTGCCAGATGCCAGGTCCCAAGCATCTTCTTCCTGAGCCCACTTACTGCCCTGTCCCTGCCCAGCTTACTGGCCCAATGATCCACTTCTCTGGGCTCTTACTTGGATCACAGCTTCTTTACCAGCCCAGTTGAAAAGCCTGGCACTCAACCTGTGCACTGTGGGGTTGGAGGGCAGGATTAAACATCCCAGAGTGGAGGATGGGTCTGCTTATCAGTGATCTGAGGAGCCCAGGGCTCAGTGATGCAAAAAACCAATGCCAAAGCCCAAACAGAGGAATATTCCCCTCCGCCCACTAGTTAAACTAGGTACCCTTGGTATCAACTTCACCTATGACATGGCTCCTCCCTACAGAGAGGCATGTGGGCCAAGTTCACCTAAACTTGGCGTGATCCTAGAGACCTGGGATCAAATCCCACGTCGGGCTCCCGGTGCATGGAGCCTGCTTCTCCCTCTGCCTGTGTCTCTGCCTCTCTCTCTCTCTCCCTGTGTGACTATCATAAATAAATATTAAAAAAAAAAAACCAGCCAGGTGAGTCAGAGGCCATGAGTGGATACCACTCTGGTTTAACTGAGCACTCACAGGCAATAGAGATAAGGCACCTGCCTCACTGTGCTGGAGATGAAGCTGGAGAGGAAAGACACACACCCAGAGAAAGCTAAGGAGCACCAAGGGGCTAGGCAGTAAATGCTAGAAGGAGGCAGAGGAGAAATCCAGCCCCTTGCAAGAGGGGGACTGGGAAAGAAGTCCTTGAGGAGGTGGATGTTCATGTTGACCTTCAAAGGAGGACAGGGCTGTTATCAATGAAGGGCCCCAAGGATGGAGGAAAGTGAAAAGGGCACCAGGCCCTTTGGCAGGAGCCCTGAGTCCTGCTTCTGATGCTGCCACTTATCAGCCACGATAGCTTTGGGCTCATCATTCTACCACTCAGGGCCTCTGCTTCTTCAACTGTAAAGTAAAAAGGTGGGACTCCAGGATCTCAAAAGTCTCTTTCCCAGTGAAAAATATTACAGTACTAAGATGAACAAAGAAGTTGTGGTGGGGTAGGGGTGGGGGCATTATAAGCAAGTGCTAGAGGAAGGCTGAAGCAAAGCATGGAAGCTGAGTGAGTTTAAGAGGTTAAAGCCCAGGCTGGTCAGCCAGGAACAGTGGAGATACGTATAGGGGAAAGAGGAAATAAGGCTGAAAACTTGGAAGTGACGATGATAATAGTGATTTTCCATTTGTTAATCATTTATTATGGGCTAACAGCATATGCAATTTATATTACTTATGCATACTACTGTTCATTCACCCAACAACCTCCAAAGTAGATACCATTATCCTCATTTTGCAGATTGAAAACCAAAGCTGACAGAGGTTAAGTGGCTTAGTCAAGACCATACTGTTGGTTAGGGGAGAGGCAGAACTCAGTCTCTAAAACATGTGCTTTTCCTTACTTTGTCCTACTTCTCCCAACATGCAGCAACCGGGATTAGAGAGTCTCAAGCCATCAGTATTTTCGAGACTAGAGAGAACACATACGAGAAGATCCTGGTAGAGCAACATACAGGCACGAGGTCTCAGGAAAGAAAGGAAAGATTCTACAACACATTGTGAAGGCAGAATGGCCAGGATTTAGCCACTAACTGGAGTCAACCATGGCCCTAAGACCCCAATTCTGTGTACGTGGAAGGCTGGTTGTTTGTACCACTGGCAGGAGGGAAGATGCAAGGAGGTGGCTAGTCTTGTCCCCAACATGCAATGTTTGAGGTGGTGGTGGGGTATCCAGCTGGCACAGGAGATGCAGATTTAAGACTGTCAAGGAAAAGAGTGTTGACGGAGACAAGAGGCCTAAGGAGAGGATGTTAGAAGGCACTTAATTTTATAGGCTGGGGAAAAGAACCTGACCTTGCAGAGGGGTCAGAATTGGTCACACTGGAAATGGCAGGACCAGGATTGAGCAGTTTCACCTAAGTCAATGGAGAAGAACACTTCCAGAAGGAGAATATAATTAATTGACGGCACCAATGACAAAGCAAATATTAGAAGGAACTGGGAATAAGAAGAGGCATAGGTATGGGAATTTGGGGGACAGTGGTCTCAACAAAGCAACTAGGGCAGGAGCCAAACAGAAAGGGGTTAGGGAGTGAACAGGGAGAGAGGGAGGCAGTGAAAGTAGATTACTGCCTTCAGAAGTTTGTAGGAAAGGAGAGGAAAGAAAAGTGTGGAAGCCAGAGGGTGGAATTGGCAGCTGAGTGGAGGGAAGGCTGTATAGAGTAGGAAAGATCTGGATATGTTGGTAGGCTAGGGAGGCAGAACCTGAAGTTGTCTGAGAGTGGATGACGGAGAGAACAAGGCAGAAGAAGAAGACACACAGGGAGGGGTTGGTGAGCGATGGTGCATTTTGAGGCAGCCAAAGGTTTTGAAGAGGAGCTTTCACAGCTTTTCTCTTTCGGCAAAGCAGAAGGGAAAGTCATGTCTCAAGTGTAGGGGAAAGGTTTGGAGCATGATCACAATGGGAAAGATAAGATGGGAGCTGAGGGCAATGTAGACTGGTCTATAGGAAAAGTCTAGAAGGGGGCTGTGCAGCTCAGAGCAGCTGCCCTTAACTGGTTGCAGCAAAAGCTTCTGGGATCTCACAGGTCTGCTGTGGGTGGCTCCAGCCTGTGGGCTGATGAGCACTGGACTAAGGGAAGCCCAGGGCTGGGGCTGGTTGACTCAGATAACCAAATGGCCTCATGGAGTTTCCATCTTTGTTACTCTGAGCCTCTGACCCTTGGGGCACTGGTGCAAATTTAGCTGAGGCAGCAAGTGATGAAAATCACTACCCCCTGACAGCGGCTTGGTGGTCCACTAATGCTCTCGGTGCCCATCCGTGCTCCGGACAGTGGGCACTTGGAAGTCCCCAGAGCTGATCTTGGGAATTTTAAGAACTGGGATCGTGGATAATGGTGGTCATCAATTGCCCACCTGCATCCTGTACACAGCCCAGCAACTCATGGGATTATCACCAGAGGTTAAAAGGATGAAGTAAAGCATTGCTTTGGGTGATTATCTAATACTATTTCCCCGTTTCTCCTCCTTCTCTTCCAATCTTTTTCATTCTTGGCACTGTAAGACAGCCAGACATATCTATGGCCTCCATGGCCTCAGGCCAGTTTGGCCCTCAAGTCAAGTCTGCAAGTATGGATCACTGGGGAGTCCCAAAGGCCGCCTCTCTACTAGGGGGCTGGCAAGTGCCATTTCCTGTTGCCATGAAAGATAGCCCCATCAAGACACCTGCTCCCCACTTTTCTTTCCAGCATGTTCTCCTTCACAGGGATGCCCTTCCTTTCCCATGTTTCCTAGCTTTGCCTGAGCCCAGCATGGGGACTTTAGGAACTTAGCAAGGGTGTGACTAAGGCAAAGGGAAGAAGGGAATAGGCTCTGGGTTGAGTCTGCCTGAGTCTGAGACTCAGTGAAACCCCTAGGTTATTACCTGTGAAATACCTGACAGTTTCTGATTCCCTCATCTGTAAAATAAGATAATAATACTGTCCACTTCCTAGGATTGTTGAGAGGATTAAACAGGATAATGCATGTCAAGTGGTTAGTATGACCTTTGGCTCAATAAACACTAATGCCAATGCTAATAATAATAACAACAACTAATAGTAGTAGTAGTAGTAGTAGTAGTAGTAGTAGTAGTATTCCTCTGAGTGACCACCAGAACTGACTGCCTTCTGTTTAGGGATGAGCCGGGTGCAGGCAGGAGGCCTCTCAGCCCCACACGGTCCATCCTGGTCCATGTAGCTGCCGGGAGGCCCCGGATGGAGCACTGAGAAGATAGGAAGTGGGAGCAGCAGGTGTCATGACCTGACCCAAAAAGAGGTGCATCAGAGAGACTCTCAGGAAGACAGACTGGGGCCCCCTGCCTGGGGGCACTGGGAAGGATCCACAGACATTATGACCAGGAGCTTTTCTGGGGCCCAGTAGGTACCAGGGGGCTATGGCAGCGCCTCAGAGTATAGATGACAAGGCAGGTGAAGTCACTCTTTCTTTGGTTAAATTCCCAGAAGGCCTCCACCTCCCACCAAGCTGGAGATCAAAACAGTTTCATCAGCTCTGTGAGCTAGAATGAAAGCAGGTAATGAGTCTCCTATTAACAGTTTGTTAAACTCATGAAGAAACCAAGGAGCTTCCAACATGCTAAGAAAGCTCTTCTGGTTCTCCTCCGTCGCTTACTTCCTCCTCCTTTCCTTCCTTCTTCTGGGTTTCATCCTCTGTCTCTCTCCCCTGTGTCTCTCTCTGCCCATCTGTTGGTCTCCCTTCTCTTTGTCTGTCCGTCTGTCTCTCGGCACCCTGAGGTCCCACTGTGGCTGTGTGAGTTTATTGATTCCTGGGAGCTGGGGGAAAGCAGGAGGCAGGGCTGGGGTGCAGGCTCAGGGATGGAAATAGAAGGCTATAAA